GCCTCATGTGGAAAAAGTAGGTACTGCTAGAAAAAGAAAGCAAAATTGCTATTTTTCTTTAGATTCATCTCTTACACCGGCCCTTACTATATTATTTGATGATATTCTGATGTTCATATATTCCAAGCATTTAGGGGAAAAGAAACTTTAAGTAAATACAGGGGAAAAAAAAACCCATCTCCTAATTTATTCTACATAGAAAAACTAACAAGGAGGATTTTTAAATCTCCACTTTCAGGACACGAACACTAAATGTCAAATGTCCTGGCCCCATACACATTCATGCATGTGTAGAAGAGACAGGATGCAAAGAACTAAAAAGGCACATCAATCAAAACATAAAAATATGCAAGAAAATGGGGGGGGGGTGGAAATTGGCCAAAAAGGAAGACTTTTTAAAAGAAACCTTTCACTTGAAAATAATTTCAAACGTACAGTTGAGTTACAAGAATAAGAATAGTATTGAGAATATACTCATATCCTTCACCTAGATTTACCTAATTAACTGGGCTTACCCTTCTGTCAACATGTTCAAGAGTGAGAAGCAATGTGTTCTTGCGAGCCACTGATATTTAGAGGCTGCTATAGCTGGGATTTTGCATGTTCTCAAACTCTCATACGTATATACATATATCCTCACACTATATAAATGCATACTCATACATGATGTATAGCACACACACATTAATAAATATACACGCACATAATTTTTTTCTTGACATTTGAGGGTAAGTTACATATATCATAACCTTTTGCCCCTAACAACTTCAGCATTTCCTAAAAATACGGATATTCTCTCCTAGAACCCCAGTACAGTTAATACATTTGGAAGCTTAACACCAACTCCATACTCCAATCTGCCACCCGTGTTCTGGTTATGTCAGATGAACCAATAACGTCCTTTACAGCTTTGCTCCCATTCCAGTACAGGATTCGGTCCAGGGTTAGGAAATGAATTTAGGTTTCACGTCTTTGTAACCTTTTAATCTGGGATATTTTATTGCTTTTTTCAAAACACAGCATTGACATTTCTGAAGAAACTGTACACATACACCCTCCACGCCCACTGTCTTTACAATAAACTGTTCCCTTACTTTGGGTTTGTCTGAGCTTCCCCACGGTTGGATTCGTGTTGCTCATTCTCAGCCACAACACTACATAGGTGACTCTGTGTCCTTTTCAGGGTATCCCATTTGGAGTCACACAATGTCCTTCTGTTCTTCACTGGTGAGAAAAATGTCTAGCACCAGTCAAGGTGTTTTCTGGTTTCTCTACTGTATAATTACTATTTTCCTTGTGATTAATAAGCAGTTTCAGAGTGATAATTTTAAAGCCATGTAAATATGTAAATATTCTGCTCTTCATCAAAATTTCCCCTTAAATTTAGCTGCTGAATTGTGCCTGATCTAATCTTAACTAAAATAGATGCATTTTGCTGATTTCCAAATATGAAGCTTCTCTGCAGTTCCCAGTCACTATTCAACCTTCTGCTGTAAGCCAGAGCACTCCTTTCCCCCTATCAGTTACTTAATCTACTTACTAGTGGTATAGACCCAAGAATTACTATTTTTTTCAACAGTTTGCAGTTCCTTACGGTACTAGACTATTTTGGCATTCAAGTTCTTACAGATCTGGAGTGGCAGCTCCTTCAGGTCAGATTCTTGTGACTTGTCCCTGACATTTGGGGGCACTTCTTGTTTTTTCACATAATAAGATACTCAGGCTTGTTTCAAACCTATCCTTCCCAGTCCCTGAAACTGGTCTATCCAAGGAGGCTGAGCTCCTTTCAGTGGGGAGGAGGATCTGGAGACACCTAGAAATGCCATGTGCTCATTGCTATCAGAGCATCTTCTATGTAGTTCTTAAAGCTGACAGAGATAGATAATATATACACGTACACACACACAGACACATACACATAGATATGGAGGGACTCTGACTTACAATGGGTTGACTTACAATTCTCCAACTTTATGATGGGTTTATCAGGGTATGAAATGCATTTTCAACTTGTGATGTTATCAACTTACATTGGGATCATCAGAATGGAGCCCCATCATACATACATGCACATTCAGATACTGGACATGGACGTACATGCATGTATATATAAGAAATGATGCATTCATAATGATACCTCCAATTCAAGTCCATTCCCCAGGGGCCTTCTTGGACTTTATTGATGGATATTCTAGTTTGTCTTTCCTTTTTCCTTAGATCTTGCCACTCAACAACAATAAACATGCTTGCTCAGTCCTATAACATATCTAAAATTGTTTCAGAATTGCTGAAACAACAAAATGAAACAAAAACCACACAAAAGCTTTAGGACTTAATTTGGAATTCTTTCCTGACTGAACTCCAACCTGCCAAGACACTGACTACAAATATTGTGTTTGCAAGTTACTTGAACTGGTTCTTTCGTTTTTTGGTGTGGTTATGGTATTCTCTTGGAATACAAGTGGATTCATTTGCTTCAGTTTGCCTGCAGTGTTAGGTTTATTTTCCCCTTCCTATTTCTTTACATATACTTCAAATGAATATAATATTAACATGCACCCAAGAGTAAAAATTATGTAAAAAGGCATCCTCAGAGAGGTGTCACACACTCTCTCCTGTCCACCCCAGGTCTCCCCGTTTTTGTAAGTGACCAATTTCATGCTGCGAAGTTTATCCTTCCTTCGGTTTCTTTCACAGAGATAAAGATATATATATATATTTGCATTTCCTTGGCTTATGAAAGGTGGCACACTATAGGTACTCTTTTGCACTGACTTTGTTTTTTATGCTTGATTATACACCTTGGAAATCACTCCACATTACTTAACAGAGACCTCCTTACTCTTCTCTGCAGGAGCGGAGTGCTCCAGTGCATGCGCGGGTCCTGTAGTTTATTCAATTAGTAGCCTATGCTTGGAGATAAAAAGCAGTTTCCAATATTTTCCAGTTATAAATGATGCTGTAACAAATAACCTTGGGCTTAGTGTTTAAAAATTATTGTGCAGGTTCCCTTAGTACTGGCACTGTTTCCCATGGCCTTGATATCTTAAGGTCAGCTTGACTGCATAAAACCTTCTTGGGTCACATTTTCTTTGCCTTACTGTCTTAAAAATGTTGCTCCATTACTTTGTATGTTGTTTCAGGAAGACCACTGATGGTCTAATTCGATTGTCTTTGCTTTTGATCTTTTTACTTAGAAAAGTGTATTTTCCCCTCTATCCTTATTTAAAGTCTAATCATTTTCTTAGGATGTATCGTACAGTTTTGTTTTCTTCAGTACCTCATATTAGATGCAGGTGTTCTTTTAATTCTGGAAAGTTTTCTTGGATTATAGGTCTAAATATTAGTGCGGGTCAGTGTTTTGAATGATTTCTTCAAGAAACTCTTGCTTCTTGATTTCATTTTCATTTCCCTGGTTGTTTTTCTTGTGTTCTTCAATGCCTTTTTCATTTGAATATATTCTTCCTTGGACACCTTGTAATTTAGTTTTTATTTCTGATATAATTTTGACTTTCCCTTTCCTCTTTTCTTTCCTAACTTTATCAACTCTTGTTTCATCTTTCCCTGACCAATTTCTATTTTTGTTTAAACTTCCAATTGGAAGTGTTGTTTTTTTCCTTTTTTCTTAGCTCATTTGAGGATATTTAACTGAGTTGAGAGTGTTTCAATACATTTTCTTCAGCTGTGTGGCTCGACTGTTGTGGAAAGTTTTCATTAAGAGGAAAGCTTTAATTCATATCATCATATCTAATTTTCGTGGTTGTTTTACAGTGATGGGGACAGAATTTTTTCCTATCCTATTTTCATAGAAAAAGCTCTTCATTCAAGAGTACCTTTTTCTGTGCAGCTTCTCTGATGGATCATGTTGCTGATGGCCGTAAGAGAGGAGTGGGTGGACTGGTGGTCTTGTTTCTCTTTCATTTCTGCTGGATCCTTACCTTTCCCTTCTTCCTTCCTTCTTGCTCGTCATTGCCTAGTCTCCAAGGAATTCCGTCCATCCTCTATTTATCTGATGCGCGCAGAGAAACAAGGATTCTCCAGGCTGCCACTTCTGTTTGCACACACCTTGAAGTCCTTTTTTTCTTGTAGCCAGAGCTGAGAACCACCAAGTCCTGATCTATGTTCTCTAGTTTGGCATTTACTGTTATCTCTTTCTGGGGGCGATTCTGTTTGTACTGCGATTAATTCAACTGTTTATCACCACCCTTCTTCAGAGTCTTTGAAGCCTTCCCTTCTGTTCTTTATCTCCCAGGTTTCAGTGGCAGGCTGAGCTGCAGAAGCTTCGACGGGTTGTTTTTTTTAACTCTATTTATGTGTACTTTGAAGGTTGTGGTGTTCTCTGCCACATGGTCATACTGAAAACATAGGTCCTGTATTTGTTCTCTTTGCTCTCTCTGTTGATTTTATGTTTTCTAACGGGATGGTGAGAGGGAAAGTAACAATCAGGTGAGAGCCATTGATCTCTAACAGTGTTTTTGTTCCTGTTTAGATTTTGTTATTTGTGTTTTCATTTCATCATCTTACCATGTGTTTGTTTTATTGGGAGCGACCTCAAATTCCTTGAAGAATGAGGCAGAGTGGAAAAAAATGTGCAACAACTAAATGGTAACAATGCTCTGCTTTCATGATTCTTTTATTTGCTTGCTTTTTTCTTGAATGAGATATGAGTAACAAAGATAAGAAAAACTGGGGAAAAGGGAAAATGAAAGAAAAAGGAAAAAAGGATAGAAAAGCAAAACTGGTCATTTTGGTTTGTGAGTATCAATTAATATTCAGTTAATTAGAATTTGAAAAAGGAGCTTTAATCTTTTTTTTTTTGAGGAATAGTAGCAGGACTTCTGTATAGGTACAACCTCCAAAAGTGATGGCATTTAAGAGCCATATCATTTTATACTCTATTTTTGCATCAGTAAGCTCTGGGGTATTATAAAACATCATTGCTTTACAATATACCTCTTACATTTATGCACACCACACGCACACTCAGAACACACACTTACTTGTTTCACATTCTGGAGTTCTTCTGTCAATTGCTTCCTTTGTTTCTCTGATTCAAATAATTTTTCCTATATTTAAGAACCACTGAATTAATAACTTGCTATGAAAGTATCAGTGAGTATGACTTTAGTTCTGTGTTTCAAAGCTTATATGTATATTCCCATCAAATTGCTTACATTTTCAGATTGTATTTTCTTACGTTTTTCTGGCTTTATATGTATCACTTAAAAGTAATTAGTTACCTATAGACTAATTGTGATGTGAATGTACTTTCTATTTATCTTAATTTTGCAAAATTTCACAACCTCAGGTCAAAAAATAAGTCTGCAGGAATCCAAATGTGTAAATATTAACTAATTTTGGGCAATAGCTATCAGTGCCAAAGAGCTTCCAAACTGAAGGTCATTATTATTACAAATTAGAAGTAAAGGTCTCTCACCATACTAAAGAGGACCTATGAGATGGGGCTAACTCTTGGTTTTATAATTTAATTTTAGCTCATTCTTATAACATTGCCCATTAAAAAGGTATGACTATATAACTAAAATATCAAATGATAGTTATTAAAGTAGATGAATTAAGATGGTTAAGGTAAATGAGTATTATGCATGCAAATAAAAAATCTTTGGACTCAACTTTAGACAAGCACGTACCCTAAAATGTTCCATTTTGTTGAGCATACCTTAAATAAATCCAGGTTTTATTGATTGACTCATAAATAAGAGAAATTTAAGAGCCACTTTTCTACAAACTTGAGCAGAGGAATTGCTTGAACAGTAAATTAAGTGATAAAGATTCATGGCTACATTGCAATGTTTATAAGAGGCGATCTACTTTCTGGTGTGTGTTAGCTCATCCTTGTCTGGGAGGTGAAATGAAGGTAGATGATGATGAATATAATATAGCAATCTAATGGATGTGCCACAGACCAGGAGCCAAGAGACCGCAGGCTCCTGAGCGTTAATGCCCTAGCAAGTCACCTTCCCTCTTTGTGGCCTAGTTTTTCACATCTGTCAATGGAAAAATCTATCTATTTTCATGCACCTCTGCAAAGCAGTAGTAATGACAATTCTATGGAAAGGCTCAGCCCATAGCACTTGTAAAAATTATTCTTGCAAAATAAAAATTATCTTGGTTTCATTTTTATTTGTATGTCATGTCCAACATGAAGACTAGATATGTCTCAGGATAATGAAAAGTGATGAGACACCACCTATGGATTCTATGAACTCCTTCAACAACCTCGGTTATTTATGTGTATGTACAATATAAGCAGAAAAAACTGAAAATAAAGATATTACCTCGAACAATATTTATTGCTTTGTGTACTATTTTCTATAGCTTCTTATATGGCTCTCAGCCAATTGATAGGTTTTGAGGTGAAGGTATCAATAATTTTGAAATGTGGAATTTGTTATATACAGAATTTTAGCACCATGTTCTAACCGACTGAGTTAACTGGCTGCCTGCTTACCTGGGATGTTAGGTTTTGTCAATTAGGATATGTTAGATTTCATGAACTTTAAATGTGAATCCTGATTTATTGAATGGCTCCGCAGAGAAGCCTTGTTTAAATGTCAAAAGAACATGGCATGTACAGTTTTAAATTAAAATTCTAATAATTAATATTGATATTCCAATAAAACTGAAATATATCACTAAATTTAACAATGATAAACTTTAAAGAAAGGAAAAAGATCTGAGACTCCCTGAAAATTATAACGAACTAGATTTAATGGTTCATCTAGTGATAAATTATAGAAAAATGCTATCTTACCAAGGCAGCCAACACTGAAGAAGTTTTTTAAGAGAATATTAGAAGCAACCGTCAATGTATTTTTAAAATTAAATTTAAACTTTACATCTAAATTCTTAATTGTTATACCAAAAAAAAAAAATGTGGCCAGATAGTGGCTTTATAATTATAAAAGAAATATATAAAATATTCCATATGTAAAAAATATATAAAATAAAATGTAAGTAGTGGAACCCTTACATAAATTAGGAAGAAATGTGAATTGGCAAGGCCTTTTGAAAGGGAATTTGGTAATACACAGAATTTTTATGCATCCATAGCCTTTAAAAAAGCAATTTCATTTTCAGATATTTATTCTGTGTACATACTCATGCAGTTGGCCAAAGGCACTTGTACAAAGCTGTTTAAGGTAGAATTATTTTTAATAACGGAAAACTGGAAATGGTCTAAATATCCATTGACAGGTCACTGGCTAAATAACCATTGAAAGTATGGGAGACCCAGCCAGAAGAATTTGGCAGATCTTTATATAGATATTAATAGGAAAAGATGCCCAAGATACAACTCTAACAAAGACAGAGAGAAAATAAAGGCACTAACTGTAAAATATGTAGATGGATGAAACAATTTATGTAAAAGTTAAAATCCCTATACATTTGTCTTTTAAAACTCTTTTTTCTGGGCAGTTTTAGGTTCATAGCAAAATTAATAGGAAGGTACAGAGATTTCCCACATACTCCCTGGCTCCACACATACATTTACTTTAAAAAATGTGATTGGCTATGCAGAGAAGCTTTTGGAAAAGATAATTCATTAACATTTTTAACACTGACTTCCTCTGCAGGGGTGTCCTACCTGCAGGCTGCATGTGGATTTTTTGAGGCCTATTTTGTTTACCTGTGGTGTTGCATGTTGCTACAATTATGCACAGACCTTCCTTTCTTTTGCTCATCAGTTCTTGTTAGTACTTTTTTATTTAATGGATGGTGCAAGACAACCTTTCTTCCAATGTGGCAGGAAAAAAAAAGGGTAGACACCTTTGCAGGCTTGGAATTGTAAAAATAAAGTAGCAAGAGATTCTTTTTGCTGTAAATATTTTAATGAAATTTTATTCCATAAAAATTAAATAGAATTTCACTTGTTTGATGCACTAATTTAAAAATACATATTCCTATGGTGACTTAATGGTAAGTAGTTGCGTTGGTTTTCTTGAAGACTTGGAAAATAGTAACTGCTTTCTGTAAAAACTAGAGTGTAATTTAAATGTAATATTCTATTAAAAACAGAACGAAACTATATAGAAGAAATCAAACTGTTACAGTATATTTGAAATATATGTGCTTTTTTCTCCCTTAAATCACACTGCCTTAATTCCAAATTGTCTGAGCAAACCATTATGCCCAGTAAGCACAGAAAAAGATTCACTTCCCCAAACTCACAGGATCCCAAACTGTCATAGCTTGCTTGTTGGCCCCTCCTCTAATTCTGCCCTGGCCTCCAATGTGAGACAAAAACAGGGGCAAGGAGCAGCCTGATCAAAAGGCATGAGCAAAGAAGTGGTTCACACGGATTCTTACGTGGATATTGTTAATATCAGTAAGCACATGAACTAAAAATTAATTCTCTGGAGGCCAACTGAAGAGAGAATCTGATTCTAACCAGTTGATAGTAATACTCTTTCACTGAAAAATAAAACTGACCCCTAATACTTCAGAATCTAACACAGGAGTATTTTCTTTTTTTCTAAAGAAAACAGAAGAACACTAAATTGGACGCTACCTTAAGTACGCTCACTTCTTTCAAGGCATCGTTTCTTTCACGCGTAAGCCTTCCTATTTCATCGGCTTCTAAAGAATCACAGGGAAGAAGCTGTCAATATTAAAACATAGAAGTTATACGTTAGATGCTAACTGTGAGCACGGACATGAACATTCCTTCCGACTAAGCTTAGGCTTTTGCGTTCTAATAACAAAATTCAGTTTCTAACTTGACAGTCATTTGATTAGATAAAAGGGAATATTAAAGTAATATGGGGCGATGTCATTACTTTAAGCTTAACCTTACACGGTTGTTACTTACACGTATAACAGAATTTAGGTGATCAGAAGGTATACTGACTCTGTTGGCACCTTCGTACCTCTCACTTTAACAGTATAATTTTCCTTAAAGGTCTGAATTCTAACATTGTGTTTATAACGTCAAAAAGACGTTAGGAGTTATCGACATAAATTATTCCCTAACGACATTCATTTCAAGAGCATGGTATCTAAAGTTAACAAAATGCTGTACATTATCTATCAGGATGGCTCCCAGGAGCCCAGTATATTTATCAATTATGTATATGGTTTTAACTAAATGAAAAGGAAGGCAAACACCAAATGGCTTTACAATATTCCTGCCCAGAAACTGTGGGTTGACGATGATGTTAATAATTCATACGAATGTGAATAACAACCCAAACTAGAAGACACGACAATTTCTCTTATGTTGACCATGATCTTTCTGAGAGTCAGTTACAGGGTAAAAACTATGAAAATCCAATCAGTGATACAGTCCAAGTCTAATTATAGCCATCTTCTATGTGGAAGGTACAAAAAAGCCAAAAACAAGTACAGAAATATAGTTTAAAGGATTAAGTGCAGAAAGCGACTGCATATAAGTATGGGCTTAAAGCAGAGCCTTTTAGATAGGATAGATGAGCAGAGAGTAGGAAAAGACAATAAGAATAATTAATATCAACCATTCGTTGTGAACTTACTATATGCAGATGCGTTGCTAAGGATTGTATATGTTCAATATTACGACTTTATATATATTAAAAAAAACCATCTCCATTTCATGAATGAGCAAATGAGCTCAGAAAAGTTAGTAACTTGTCTAAGGTTTCACAACTAATAAATGCCCATTCCAAGATTCCCACAGAGGTCCGACATCATAGTCTGTGATTTTTACTAAGTATTCAACACAAATTGTGGTGGAATGGGTATGATACTTAGATTTGCTTTCCAAATCCTAGAATAACAAAGGTAGGAGATATTCTTAAAGTTTGGGAACAAGGGAAGAAATTTTTTCCCTGAATATTACTGGATTCCCTTTCCCTCCCCCATTAGCTTTTGGGTATCTGTGCCCATTGTCTATAATTTATACCATTTTATATTCTTTATCTGTCTCTGCTACTCCAACCTTTCAGACGTATTCAGCTCACATGGTCATAACAATTCCTTCCATACTGTTTCAGTTTTGAACACATTTTCAAATATAACAACGTTTCCCAACTTGTATTTCAAAGGATATTAACTGGTTTTATATGGAAGCAAAACTGGGTGGTAGTGATGGTGATATTGATATAGGATTTAGAAAAAATTAACCACCTTTCCTACACGGCTTCCAACAGCTTTAATATGCGAATGAGGATCTGAATTTCCAAAAAGCAAGTATAACTTAATAATTTGTCACATTTCCTCAGTAATTAAAGCATAACACACACCCTAGCCCCCGTACCCTGCTGCCTTTGTTTATTTTTTTGGGTTTGAACTCATAAAAAACTAAGCTTTGCAAAAGCACAATTTGGGAAACACCACTACTCAACATTCGCATAAGCCCATTCTATTTTAAACTAAGAAGTGAAATATACAGGATTCAAAAATTTTAGTACAATTTTAGGTAACAGAGCTGTAACAATTTATTAAGAGAATTTATGGATTGGGATTTTAGGGATGTGACCTTAAGCCTTTGAGCTTAACATCATGGAGATAAATCACACCAAAAAGAATCTCGGGTATCATTTTGAGAGGTACTAAATTGAATAGTCATAGAACAAACCAGACCTTTTCATATATAATCCTACTGTTGTTTTGGACTAAGCAGCAGAAACCCGAAGCCAGAGAATTGGCCATGGAAGTTACTTGTGAATTCTTTGAAGAGCCTCTTTGTGCTCACTGTTAATAGTTCTATTCAAATACATTATCAACTATGCAAGCAGCAAATGGAAAATCCTTGCTATTTAACCCCAATGCTGGACAGATGCCTGTTTTCAACTTTCTACATCCTTTTTCTGTCTGGCTCTTACAGTATTATTGGTGATCCTGGGGCCCCCTGACCTCTGTGTCACCAGGTCAATGACACTGTAAATAATTTACACTCTCCTTTCTACAGCGTTCCGGGGACCAGTTCCAAGAGAGTGGTCGCCGCACTGTGTTGACGAGGTGTGACCTCTCCTCTCCCTTCACTCTTTCTCCACCGTCGTGATTTTAAGTTAGTTGGCTTGTATCAATTTTGAAGAGCTACCATCCCATTGACCCCATTCCCTAACCTCAATTCAACGTAAACAAACAGTAACTTCTGATTCAATCCACCTTTATTAAACCTTCTCTTAGAGACCCAGTCACACCTCCTTTCCTTATAAAATTGTGTGAGACTGTACCACCCTAGTCACCCGAACTTTCTGCATATCCCCTTCTTATCCCTTCCATGCTCCTGCTCACTCCTTTCACTTCTTCAGATCTGGTCTGCATATCTTTTCTATCCCCACATTTCTATGATTACTTGTGATTTCACCAATAAAGCTGCTATTGGACAAAGTAAATGCCCCCCCCCCTTTTTCTTAACCTCTTTCTTACATGCGTCACTGCTCAAGTCGTTTTTCCTTAAGACTTTCTCTTCTTTAGGTCACGAGAACCGACTACCTCACCTCCCCATTCTGGACATTTATGCCGTTTCCACTGACTTGCTTTCATTTCTACTTCGTAAATGGAAGGAAGGGGAGTGGGACATTCTCCACAGTCCTCCCTCCCAAATTTCTCTACAAGCTCTGAGTGATCACATTCACTGCTATGCTTCAACTGTCATGCCCTAAATTACCCCCCAATTCCTCTCGTGGTGTCTAGCTCCTCATTCCAAGGCCTTTGGTTATTTATACCTGTTAGCGCCTTAAACATACTTTCTCTAAAACATAACCTATCGTTTTCCCTGCCTTGAAAAAGACTTTCTCCCTATTTCCTTATTTCTACTTGGTATAATACCATCATATTCTTAATTATACTAATCAAAACTTTGGAGTCATTTTAATTCATTGCTCTCCCTTGATTCTCACAGCCAACTGGTGAGCAAGTCGTATTGATGACATACTTCTTGTTGTTATTTTTGGTAAATATCCAGTATCTGTTATTCTTCTTCTCCTCCCCACCCTCACTACAGTTTAGTGCTTTATTATCCTATATTTGGATTCTTCCCATCATGCTCTGTCTAGACTATCACCAGTTTCACCCCCGACACCTAAGATTATTCTAATATATCACTTTTATCATTTCATTTTCTCCGTAATAGCTTCTCACTTACTACTGAGTAAAGTAAAAATTTTAAATTTAATATTTACCCTTTATATATAAATATATAAATGAGAAATATGATTTATATCATGAGTATAAGCAAAACATTACTGAATCTTTCCACATTCAATTCGCTTTGAAATTTTCCATTCTACTCTCTTTCATTTGTTAAAGTGGTGGCTGCAAATGTGCTGAATATTGATTTAATAAGAACCCATTGTGAAAAGTCTACTTCAGGGAATTCACAGTAGTTCTCTAATTTTAAGATAATCCATTCATGATACGGTACTTGACCAGTCTGGTCATATTACAGTAGTATGATGGACTATATTATGCTTAGAGTACTGCTAAGTGTGGGTTCCAGCCTTGCCTTCTCTGTGTACCATCTGCGTCAGCATCAAGTGTAGTACTGTGTGAATTTTTTATTACGGCAATGATGATTAGACTTATAGTAAGATAGTTATATTTTTGATTCTAAAATAAATGTCATATTCTTCTAGACCCTAAAGTTCTTTATCAAGTGAACAAAGCTAGGACTGATTTATATTGACTTAGCAATTTCTACTTTAAAGATAGCATCTCAAGAAATCTTACGAGTCAGACAAAATAATGAGCATGAGAAGCTCGTAACACAGGAGCACATATTTTATAACTCTTTTCATTACAAAGTTCAAGAGCAGCCAAACGGGGGTCAAAATACTGGTTCTAATGGGAAGCTAGAAGTGGAGGATGACAGGGAAGTTAGCAAGAGGGAGCCTTTTGAGTGGTGCAATATGTAAGAGAAATTTTGTACTTCCTTGCATGTGTGTTATAGTTCAGTGAAAATAGTTTCTAAAACCCATCTTCATCAAACAAAAAACAGAAAGGAAGGAAGGGAAAAAAGAAAGGAACAAAGAAAGGAGGGAGGGACAGAGGGAAGAGAGAGAGAAAGAAAAGAAATAGAGAGAAGGGAAGAGAAGAGAAGAGAAGAGAAGAGAAGAGAAGAGAAGAGAAGAGAAGAGAAGAGAAGAGAAGAGAAGGGAAGGGAAGAGATGCATTCTTAACAGAACAATTATAAACCTGAGCCTGTTGTTTGTGAAACTGAGATAGCGGAGGGGGTAACCACAGTGGAATCTCCCTGCCCTCATCAACTGTCAGCATCCTCCCTACAGATCAATTGATATACTTCAGATGAGGCACGACACAACTTTTTAACTCAAAAAATTTGGGAATTATGCTACAGAGTATATGTTATTTTTGTGAGCCACTTGACAAGCTGTGATTTTTAGAGTGCTTTTCAAACTGTGGTATATTACCCGTTAGTAAGTTATGAAACCAAATTTTTAATGAAATAGAATTGAGTAATAAGTAAGAATGCAACGCACATAAAAAAATAGTACTGCTTTGAGAGACTTTTGTTTCAGCTACATGTTAAAGTGTGGTGAAAAAGAAAACTTTTATAAACAATGTAATGGCAACTGCACATTTTGATCTAGAGGCACACATAGAAAATTGTCGGCATGCAGAACATTTTGCACAAATGCCATTAGCGTTGTGCTTTGCTATCACAGTATTACAGGTTGAGCACATTGTTATCTGCCCTAAAATCATCCTGGTAAGAAGGAAGTAAATTACTAATTTGGAGCATGACTGTCTTCTTTGCAGCTGCTAAAAAAGCTTTGCACGCTCACACAAAGCACTCTGAATTCCCCAGTTCTTTGGCATATTATAAGCCGCTTAACTATCTTTCCCTTTTCCTGTCAAAAATGGGTATGACAGCTTTGAGAACTGTTTGGTAGTAGAAACCAAAGTGCTCTGTCATCAACATTAGGTAGATAAATACCTAACACCTGAATAACTAGATGAAAACTGTCCTTACACTTTAGTTCTCATTTAATAAACGCCACCGAATTAGTTCTGCTAAACCAGTACCTCCATTCTTGGAGAACTGGGTACTCGCAGAACTCAGAGTTGCAGAACTGCAATGGGCAACATGCTTAGCAGTAAAAGAGATTGCTTAGTAAATAGAACGAAGGGATTTGAAACATTAGAAAAGTGATACAAGTGAGAAGAGCCTTATTTTGTCTAATAAATTAATCATACACCTTTACACTATATTTCTGGAATTATGTAATTAGTAATAAATAGTATTCAAAACTTTTGTCAATAAGGCATATCACTTGAAAACAGCAGGGCTTTAAATATAACCATGAAATAACAATGTGATTTTGATTCTTACACATGAACTAGAAGAAAAAGTTATTGAAAATATGCAACACCTTTATTCCCTCCCTTGAGTTTAAGAGTTTCTAGCAACATTCCAGGCACTTGACTGAACGTAGTATTTATTTAACATATATTTAAAGACAAAAACAAGAATAAAAATAAGAAAATAAATGTCAGCTTGTAAGAATATTAGCAATTCAGAAAAGGTTTTATTAGAACAAAAAAATATGGAAGATTTTTTGGAAAATGAAAAGCAGATAGCTACAACAAGGTTGAAAGATATAAGATGAGTATCAGCCATATTTTTATATAAAACAATAACCGGAAAATAAATCTCAAATTTTAGAATGACACCATTTATTATAATGGGAACAAAACATGTAAGGTAACTAGATTAATTAAATAAAGCCTGTTCTGGGAAAAATATGTAAAAGGTAATGAATGATATCAAAGAAGATATTAAATAAGTGAGAAGCCAAACTGTGTTCACAGATGGGAAGATTTTAATTGTAAAAAGATGTTGATTCTTCTGAAAATAATCTATAGATTGAATAGAGTCAGATTTTTAGTAGGACTCATAGGAACGCGGTAAGAGCAAGGGTTAGCCAAAGCAATATTTAAAAAGGACAGTGAGGGGATGGGGGCCTGGGGAGATGTTGCTCAAAGGACACAAAATTCTAGCTAGGTGAAAAAAAATCTAATAGATTTATTATACAACATGGTGACTATAGTTAATAATAATGCCTTATATTTTAAAAATTGCTAAGAGAGTAGATTTTAAGTGTTCTCTCCATAAGAAAAGAAAAGTTATGTGAGGCAATGCATATGCATATGGGCACACACATCTAGTAATCTATCTGTCTCTCTAGTTATCACGTTATATGCTCGTATGTATCCTACCACACATCAAATTGTCAACAGTGTCAGACTTAGGGATGAAGAAAGAATGAGAGGCGAGTGACAGAGGAGGATGGACATCAAGATGAGCTTCTACTTTCGATTTTAAATTAACCTGTATTTTACATATTTATCTTAGAAACATGTACTATTTGTGTAATCCAACAAAAAAGTGGGAAAAAAGCCTACATATACAACATGGACAAATCAAGGTCATCAAGATAGTTTTATACTCTACCTGTGACTCTAATGTGTTGGAGATTTCAGGTGCACCAACATTTACTTCATCCAACTGCAAGCAAAACAACTTTTTGGCAACGTGGACAAAATCTAAAATGGAACATACTTCAGTAAGAACACAGCATTTACCTTCCTCAAAATAAATCTTGCTTTTTTTCTATATGCAGTTGAAACTATGTGTTAGAACTAATGCTTCAAATTTAACTTACGAGTTATCTTAAAACCCTGTGACTGAAGTGACAGGTAAATTTAAGTTCAGATAAGAAGTATTGTAAGTGTTAAACTGATTCTAACTTCAGTCAACTCTGTTGAAACTAATAATTCAGTTATAATAATAAACATACAACAGACATATTCACCTCTCCAACTCTTGTATTATGAGTGGAGGCACCTTTTCCAATATATACGACAATATCATACTTATGGATTTTCTAGCTAGAAAAACCTGAGGTTTAATAATAATACCAGTAGCAGCTAATGTTTACGTAATAATAGTTCCTGTATGCCAGGCATGGTGGTTAGCAATTTCACACACACAACAATTGTCTTGGGATCTCTTATTCTCTTCATTTTGCAGATGAAAAAGTTGGGGTTAAGACTGGTTAACTCTCTTAAACTGTTGAAGGCCACTTGGCAAATAAGTTGCACAGCAGTCCATCAACCTTCTCAGACACAAGAGTGACCTATTCATCTATGTATCCTCAAATATTTTTCATTTTGGCCATTACATTTTGAATTTCCAAGTATCTTTTTAAATGTTCTCTATTTCTATATTACAATATCCTTCTTTAATTTTATAAATTCATTATCTCCCCTTATCTTTTCTTTTTTCTCTTGCTGTGTCAGTAAGGCTGGAGTGCAGTGGCCAGAACAGAATTCGCTGGAGCCTCGAACTCTCAGACTCAAGAGATTTCTCTTGCCTCAGCCTCCTGAGTAGCTAGGACCACAGGCGCCCAGCCCTCTTTTCAAGGATATGAATGATACAGTAGTTTACAGGAAGTTCTCCTCTGCTCCTCATTATTTATCTTTTTTTCTGAGTTCCTTTTTTCTGTGTGTCTGATCATTTGGGCTCTCTATTTATGTTAGAGGATTTCTTCAAATGACTGGTGACCTGGTGACCCTTGGCTCCTTGGTTATGAGTTCAGATTGAAGAATCAGGCACTAAAACAATGGATTGGAAATTTTCTGTGTATAATTTCTCAAATGGCAGGTTCCACTACAGGGGACATTTTTTGGGGGGCTTCTTCAGAGAGAATCCTGCAATCTCCTGCCTATAGTTCTACCAAGGCTGCCAATCTCCCTGAGCAAACTGGGCATGCGCGGGTGAGTCATGACTCAACACACGCTCCCCTGCTGCTGGCAACTGTAGGTCCAGGACCTCTCTAGTATCTCAGGGAATATACTTTTCCCCTGGAGGTATAAAGGAAAGGTAATTGCTGGACTGATGGAGGAGGAGCAGGGAAGAGCATAGTATTCCTTTTATAAAGATTTCTAATAACCCAGTTTAAAGGCTCTGCCTAAACCCAGTCTTCAGAAGTACCCGGGGCTTTCAATTACTAAACCTTTTCACAGTAAAATCAGCTCCTTCCTCATGGTGATTTCTCTTTGTTTAGACACTCTGACTTTCCCTGCCAGAGCTCACTAATTCATTCCTTACTCTGCACACATTTTCTGTCCTTAGAGTGCTTTTAGTTAAACGTGTATGTTTGTTTCTTGTTCTCATCTTTTGGGGGGATAATTTTCAAGAGGAGACGGAATGAAAAATATCTTTTTGTCATCACTTCAAAACCAAAAGATTAATTTTCTTTTTTTTTTAAAGCAATTAAAAATGCTTTAAAAATGATATAATACCAGATCTGCTATATAAGCAAAAAATAAATGCTTAATCATGTCAAGAAGACAAAAAAACTATTTATTAAAACATTGCCAGCAGCAGAACCAATAAATATGTAAAATCTCTCTGGAAGGCAATTTGTCAATATGTATCGAAAGTCCAAACCATGTATAGGAATTTATTCTAAGAAAAAGAATAAAAATAGCTATATTCACAATGATGATAAATATAGATTTATAATAGCAGCTGATGAGAAACCATTACAATTTCCTAGAGCAGAAAGGCTTAATTAATGCCACAGCATGACAACTAAGTGGTACACTGTGTTATCTTTAATATAAATACAGTTGCCCCTTGAACAACATGGGCTTGAACTGCATGGGTTCACTAATAGGTAATTTTTTTTTTTTTTAACAAAAAGCAAATTGAAGATAAAGTATGTGCAGGCTGTAAAACTCCTTTACACAGAGTTTGATGTAAATACCTGGTGCGCCAACTTTCCCTATAGGCAGATTCCATAGGGTGGTGACTCGAGAATGCTGGGGTTTGGGTAAACTCAGGAGGTACTGGGACCAATTCCCAGCATATACTGAGGAACAACTAATTACATAACATTTAAAAAATATTTATTGGGTGGTGCCTGTGGCTCAAAGGAGTAGGGCGCCGGCCCCATATGCTGGAGGTGGTGGGTTCAAACCTAGCCCCAGCCAAACAACAACAACAAAACCCCGCAAAAATAAAAAATATATATTTATCATACTGGCTAGCATTAGAATTGTGAAATTAGGACTTTTACCAGGTTGGACAATTAAGTTTGCAAATTCATCCTAGAAAAAGGGCTACATATCTCACTGCTAAATATCTCTATGGTCACCAGATAGCCAAGGGGAGTACTTGTATATCTTGTACTGTTTCTTCTGTTATTTCTAAAGCAATGTTTATGCAGTAAATAACAAAAAGAATATGATAGAATGATATTTTAGAGATGAAAGGTTTTCATGAAATTTTGGGGGCTGACACAGCTAGCCAAGTAACACTAGCTGAATTTTTAAGCGTACTGATGAAGGAATCTGAAATAGATGTGGCTTTACTTTTCATTCTCTCCTTGCAAAGAACAAGCACTTTTAATAAAAATGGGTCGCAGTAACTCTTTGACCACATTTCTGTGATGACACAATAGGATGAACATAATATTACCTCCAAAAGACACCGTCCCATCTGAGTCTGATCGTACTTGCTGTCTCAGGGCTTGGTGTTGTTCCTCTGTGGGCTGAATACCAAGATAATTCAGAGCCTGGAAGGAAAATGACTCAGATAAAAAGTAATTTTTCCAATCTCAGAAGAATAAAACTTTTCGTTACAACTTTATTTTACTTTACTCTGTGAAAATAGTATCAGGAACAGTGACCAGAATTAGATGCCCAAAGAAAGTCTGCTGACGATTTATGGACTAACTGCCTATAAAAGATTAGCTTCTTGATTCCACCACCACCTCAATTTTTTTTTTCAAGACTAGCACTTTGGGTATGCCAAATTAATAACCATAGCTCTGGAATTAAAAAAAATCGAAGTATTTCTTAGTTTGCAAGATTTGGCAGAAGAAAAATAGCAAGAGACTCCTATTAAAAGAGATTTATGGCCGGGCATAGTGGCTCAGGCCTGTAATCCCAGCATTTAAGGGTTCAACTTGAGCAAGAGCGAGACCCTGTTTCTAAAAATAACCGGGTGTTGTGGCAGGTGCATGGCATCGCAGCTACTTGGGAGGCTGAGGCAAAGAGGATCACGTAAGCCCAGGAGTTTGAGGTTTCTATGAGGTATGATGCCACAGCACTCTACTGAGGGTGACAAAGTAAGACTGTCTTCAAAAAAGAAAAAAAAAGAGAGATTTATAAGTAACACTGAAACAGGAATAACATGTGGTTAATATGTTGTCTTTGAGAGCAAAACGGAAGTTAATAGGGACTGGATTCTATATAAAATCTAATTTTAGGCTTGCTTAGGGGCTGGCTTACATAAATACTAAAGTAAAAAGCTTTCTCTGGCACTGGGTTTTCTCTTTTGTCTCTGATGGGAAAAGGCCTTCTTTTAGTATCCATAACTAATTAAAAAGTCAGCAACTCCTTGTTGTACCCCAATGTCCATTCTCTCCTTATTTTTTAATAACACAACCAACTATAATACAAATTTTACTTGAGTTCTCAGGATAGAAACAATAGAAACCAGAAGATATCGAAAAAATCGCTATAAGGATCTGAGATAACAATAACTGTCACCCTAGAATTATATGACCAGCAAAATTCTCTTTCAAGAAGGAGGGCAAAATATTTTCAGAAAAATAAAAAACTGAGAGTTTACTACCAATCAATCTATATATCCCAATGCAGTGGTCCCCAACCTTTACGGCATCAAGGACCAGTTTTATGGAAGACAGTTTTTCCATGAACAGCGATGGGGGTGGGGGAGGATGGTTTGTGGATGATTCAGATGCATTACATCTCCAGCTCACAGTGTGAGGCCTTAGGGATGTGGAACCTAGAGCTCTCACACATGTGGTGCATAGTAGGGTTCACACTCCTGTGAGAATCTAAAGATACCATTTATGTGACAGGAGGCAGAGCTTAGGAGGTGATGCGAATGATAGGGAGTGGCTGTAAATACAGATGAAGCTTCAGTTCCTAACAGGTCACAAACAGTACTAGGGAGTGGAGTCCATGGTACCAAAGGAAAATTTAAAGGGGGTAATTAGAGAAAAGGGAAAATCTCCAAAGGGTCGGACATACAAAATGAATTAATGAATTAAAAAAACAGCACATACAGGCAAATCTGAATTATCACTGATTGTACAGATAAGATTAATTCATAGTTTGTATGATTAAGCAAAGATAGCCTAAAACTAAAATGGTAGACAATTTTATAAGTATACAAGTTGGGAAGAAGGTGATTAGAGGTAAAGCACTGTAGGGCCTAGTTTGCTTAAAACAAATAAAGAGGGTGGCGCCTATGGTTCAGTGAGTAGGGTGCCAGCACCCTGTACTGAGGGTGGCGGGTTCAAACCTGGCCCCGGCCAAACTGCAACAAAAATAGCCAGGTGTTGTGGCGGGCGCCTGTGGTCCCAGCTACTAGGGAGGCTGAGGCAAGAGAATCGCCTAAGCCCAAGAGCTGGAAGTTGCTGTGAACTGTGATGCCATAGCATCCTACAGAGGGCAACAAAGTAAGCCTCTGTCTCTTAAAAAAAAAAAAACAAAAAAACTAAACAACAAATAAAAATTTTGATTAACTTTAGACTTTTAAGTTAAATATGCATGTTAAGATTTTAAGAAGATCACTAAAAGAATAACAAAAGAAGGCATAATTTCCAAAGTTGGAGGTGAAACAGTAAAATACAAAAATAACCAACCAAATAATCAAACATAATCAAACCAAAAGAATACAATAAAGAGGAGGGAAAAAAAGAGTGATTAAAAGGGAGAATTGAAAAAATAAAATGATTGAAATAAATCAAAATACATCATAACTAGAATAAATGGAAAGTATGTGGTATGGGAAGCACTCACTGGGAACTCTTAAATAAAATAGTGAGCAGGAAAATTGATGAAACTACGTTAGAAGCAATTTGCTAATTCAACAATTATTTTTTCAGCATATTCGATGAATGGAGTATTTTTCTGGGAAATGAAGACACAGAAGTAAAAATTTGGCCACACTTCAAGTAAAGTTGAACATAAAGTCTTTGATGCCACAATATTTTAGTAAATCAATTATTTTTAATAATGCATAGACATGAAAAACTCAAAATTTCCTCTCTTTGAGGGAGAAGGAGAGGTACATACAATCAAGAAGAAACCCTGGAGGGCGGCGCCTGTGGCTCAGTGAGTAGGGTGCCAGCCCCATATACGGAGGGTGGCAGGTTCAAACCTGGCCCCAGCCAAACTGCAACTAAAAAATAGCTTGTCATTGTGGCAGGCACCTGTAGTCCCAGCTACTTGGGAGGCTGAGGCAAGAGAATTGCCTAAGCCCAGGAGCTGGAGGTTGCTGTGAGCTGTGATGCCAGCGTACTCTATTGAGGGTGATAGAGTGAGACTCTGTCTCTACCGGGGGTGGGGGAAGAAACCCTGGCAACATCAAAGGTTCTGACTCTTAAGCTGAGTGGTGGATACATTAATGTGTGTTTGTTTCATTATTCTTTAAACCGTACATACATTCTCATTGTATGATCGATATTTTCATATAAAGAAATAAAAAAATTCTATGAAAATTATGCAAATCTAGCACCTATCACAGAAGATACTCAATATATAATAATTTTATAATAAGTAATAATAATGCAATAACAATAACAATGCAAATAACTACAGTGTAAATTGATCTAGACTTGCTCAACTTAATAACAGGTGAAAGTTTTATTGAGAGTCAAATGTACCCTAGATGAATATAGCACACTGTGTTAGTGAGGGAAGAGCATCAATTTACATGGGAAGTAATTTATTTTTGATCAAAAAGTAGGTTCTAAGAATTTCTTAAATGACGAAGGTCATCTTTTAATCTAAAGTAAAAATACAGACTTGTTAATTATACAAATAAATGTCCTGCAGCTTTGCTGATGTCTGAATGATGAGCAAAACTGAAATCACTTACAATATTGGTCACACATCTTCCAAACCCAATACAAGAAGCACTTCATTAACTGTAACCAGACACTGGCTGTGTGACTGCTCACTACCATTTTCTTCAAAGGTTATAGAAATGGCGAGAGGTAAAAGTAAACACCTGCAAAACAGCATCTGTATCCTAAAGCATCTTCCACAGGTGCGAAAATTCAGATAGTGTAGAGGTACCATAGTTGGTCTTCAGCCAAGGAATAAACTGTACCCCTATTTGCTAAATTTACCATGTCTACTTGTAAGTTTAACATCAGGATCATATATATCACTCTAAATAAATAACTATGGTGAAATCACTTTAAAATATGTGTATGTGAAATTATTCTCAGAGTATTCATGGAAAGAAGGATTTATAAATCCATATTACAGACAAGAAATCAACCATAAACTAGTTCCGTATTAGAAATCACTTTCTAATATAGTATAAAACCATCTATGTAGACTAGTAAAACATAAAAGATTTCACAAAGATAATTACATATATATAAATAGACACACATATGTATATTTGTACTATGTCCATAAGTGTATGTATGAAATTGTCTGGACAAGTCATTTCCTTTATCAAATTCTACCCTCTCTGCCTTCCTTAAAAACTGTATGTAATAGGCTAATTAGTTAATAACTACATAATTAGTCAATAACCTTTCCTTGTGAAACCTTATTTATAACACCAGTTTTCTAGATTCTATATGTGATATATTTATAAAGGATAAAGAAAAAAATACATAGATTCATTTCATATTTCATTTTAAATACTTGATTGCATTGGCCTTACTTAATATTGAATAGGAATATATTAAAATATTATGGATAATGAAGTTGAATCTGTCTACAAAGCAGCACTTAAAATAGAAGGACCTACTTCAAATTGAAGTAATTTTGAGGTTATTACAGTAATATGTAACTATGAAAAAAGAGTATTAGGAAATAATTTGGGTCGATAGCAGCTAATGTAGATTTTAGAAAAAGAATTTAAATGAAATATGGTCTCACACTCTGAAAATGAAGAATGCTCTACTAAATAAAATCACTAAATATACCTTGAATAAGACTAGAGAAGCTCAATTAAAATAGAATTTAAGTTTCTCTGCTATAAAATTGCCATTTTAATTTTCTGCAACAATAATCAATTTCCTTGGGCTAAAGGGAGACCCAAAATTGGAATTCTACTTTAATAGTCAAGCAACTCATACCGCTCAGAATCAATACAAATTTAGAATTTTCATCTAAGAATATTAATCAGATTAAAAAATAATATCACATGCTAGAAAAATTGAAACCAACACAAGAACAAAGTCTGCCATGTCATGTATCTAGCTAGCTAATTTTCTGCTTATCCTGAGGAATGTTCAGAAATGTATGCTAAATCAACACTATTAAAGCATAATAATTATTAATTTTTAGTTGTGCAATAGATACTTTTTAAACCTCAAATACTTTATTTTAGAAAATGTTAATATTGACTGATTGTAGACCATGTCATTAACTAGTGCTTACATTTTTGCCACAAATAAAAAGAGAGCCCAGGTTAGCAAAAGATATGCAGGACTTTGAAAATACAAAGGCAACATCTCAAGTATCTAATTACTTAGAAAGTTTTGTTGAGCGCGAACCAGGTGTTTAAAGGGTAGGTAATGGAGGGTCTATGGGAAGACATTGATAAGACAAAACAAAAAGGGTGCCAAAGTGGTGGTACATGCTATCGATGTGTAAAAGAAAGCAATATAGGCAGTTAGCAAAGTCTAGCTGAAGAGATGGAGCTGAGCAACGGGAATCAGAACATGCTGCCTCAAATATGGCGCCTTGGCCTACTGAAAAGACAGCAGAGGCAGGAGGGTCTCTCCTTTCTCTCAACCCTTCTTGCTGGAACAGGTCATAAACCTTAGCTGACTTTCCCGTGTAAGCAGATTTAAGACCCTTAATCCAGAGCGGTCCTCCTACACCCTGGAAAGGAAATGTCTTCACTTCTTTCTGAGACAGAGATGCCAAACAGGCCTGGCATCTCCCCCTCAGTTGATTGCCACTAAATCACACCCTTTGTCCTCCAGTGACATTTCTACATAACTGACTATAAGGATACAGTTCCCCTGTTTCCTTACCTATTCATTTCTGAAGGCTCCCATATCACGTAAAACTTATATTAAACATATTTGTGTGTTCTTCTCTTCTTCATTTGACTCTTGTTCTAGGTGTCTCAGACAAAAAGTTAGTGATGGGCCAAAAGAACCTTTTCTCTCCCGGATGACTCAATTTGAACAATGAGTAATACTCAAATTGGCAATGGGCAAGGTAGTATTGCAAGACCAAGCAAAGACATGGGTATGGGAGTGAATGATTGGTGTGCTTCATTCTGGCTATGCCTTTTCATACTCTTCCTAAAACGCAAAAATATTTTAACCATGAAAACTGACAGGAAGGTAGAGATTGTGGACATATGGCGCCACATACGTTTCACATTAAAAAAGTAGTACTTTTTTTCCTGTAAGATCCCTAGTAACTGAATAGAAAAAGTTTTCAAGTGCTTCTCTACCTTTAAATTTTCTTTATCATCTTAAGTTTCTTTTACAAATAGAAAGTTTCAAGGTTTCACCCTCTGCAAGACTATCTTTTAGTGGCTTAGAGACTGCTACCATATTTTTATATGTAATGGGCCCCATATTACTATTTTGTTTTTTAGGATTTAGTTTCCCTTTATTTTTTCAAAAAAAATTGGAAACACAGCATTAGCTTATTGTACTCATTGCTAGTATCTAGAAAGCTGAACAAACTTTGTTATAATTTATTCCATGTTTCTTGATTCTAGATTGTAAAATATCGTATTTGTCTTACTCCCATAGAAGAGGAAACTGTTTTGAATGTCAAGTTAGCTACACAGGTTTTTTTCTATTTTGTTCTGTCTAACCATCAAGAGCTGACAAACTCACACATGAATTCAATAATTTATATCCAAAGTGCCTTTCATTTAACTGCTAATAAGTGACTTCAAGAAAGGAATGAGTGTAGTACTTTATCCTCTCAAAGAATGAAAATACTCCCTGTTGTTGTCTCATGGAAGAAAAACGAAAATTTAAAGGACTTACCATTTCCAGCTTCTCTGCCTTAACACGAACAGAGGGATTTAGGGAAACCTCCTCTTCCTGAGGTTCATAATTATCACTCCAGGCAGGAGCACCACCTAAGAGACAAAGGGTGCACATTAATTGGAAACTTAATTGGAATAGAAATTTTCATTTGACAGGATATATTCTAGGGTCCTGCTGTTTAACAATCATTCTGGCTAATCAGTTGGCAGGTTTTACCTTTGTTTTCATGATTTCTTTTTCTTTAAATCTAAAATTTATTCTATAAACCAGCTTCACTTAAGTCCTAAGATATAAAAAGAGTAGCCAATTGTATATGCATTGTAAAATCTCGCAGAGCTATTAACTTAAAAGACAAATATACATCCCACCCCTACTACCATCGTCACACGCCACCACTACTATCACCAAACTGCCTTTACAAAGATTAAAAATCTTTTTTGTTCAGAAAAAGTAAAATGCTATTGGATATTCAAAAGATCATGGTATTTCTTTGCCTTGCAAAGTAGTTTGGGGATGTGAATTCTGCAAGTACTCTGGAAAAACCCATCCATGCAAATCACTTCAAGTTTGCACACAAAGTATGATACACACTCTGAACTTCAAGCTAAAAATCCCGTTTCTTAATTTATGGACAGGTTGTAGTTCAAATAGTATAAATGAAGAGTTGAGGGTCATACATTTCTTGCCCGTTCTCCCACACCTTCTTAATATGCCCTGGGTTATTTAGATGAGCTTTTGTCCTTGCTTCATGAAGAGAAGGCAGGTGCTAGAAAGGACTAGACCTTGAAAAATTAGGTGTTTCAATAAAATGTCAAAGTTTGTAAGACAAATTCATATAATTCACGTTGAGCCTTACTATCTAAATTTCCACTAATCTAAATAGACTTTTAAATGGTATTTTACTAGTTCTACATAAGAAACAAGAGGAAGGAGAGGAACTTTTTAAAATGTCACATCTTTATGCAGTGTTTTAATTTTTTTTTTAATTTCTCAGAGCATCTGTCTCTAAGTACAAAATGATTTGCATTCTCTTAAGAACATAAGAAGTGTATATGAAAATAAATAGTCTTCCTCTAAACTTTTAACACATCCTTAACACTCTATGTAAAATCTTTAATATAGCATATATAGGTGTCAAGATCATAAAAAAATAGTTACTGACTTTTAGCTTCAAATAGAATTAAAACTTCAGGATGAATGATTACAGAATAATAGAATTTTTACAGTTCTGATCAAAGCAAGTCTCCTTTGCTATCATGATACCTAATTGTTGGCTATGGAATAAAAGAATACTCTCTCTCTCTCTCTCCACACACATACTTTTTTCTCTCTTTCTTAAGAGGAATTTTGTGCCAAACTGAAGTGTGACATAAAAGACCAGCATGGAGTAGAATGGTAAGAATGGTATGAAAGGCTCGGTGCCCGTGGCACAGTGGTTATGGCACCAGCCACATACACCGGGGCTGGTGGGTTCAAACCCAGCCTGGGCTTGCTAAACAACAATGATAATAACTGCAACAAAAAATAGCTGGGTGTTGTGCGGGGTGCCTATAGTCCCTGCTACTTGGGAGGCTGAGGCAAGAGAATTGCTTAAGTCCAAGAAGTTTGAGGTTGCTGTGAGCTGTGATGCCACGGTACTCTACTGAGGGCAACATAGGTCAGACTCTGTCTCAAAAAAAAAAGGAATAGTATGAAAGGCCAAACAACAGATAAACCAAACTTTATTTTTCATCTTTTAAGGATTGGACATATGAGGCTTGACAATGACTTCCAGGTTGGTGATGGATCAGCAACCCTAGGGAGACCCAAGCTGATCTCCTTATGGTCTCAGATAAAGACCAACTATGGGCTTGATTACTCATTTCAAGTCTTGGTGTGTAGAAAGGTTGCAGAGAGCATGAGAGGAAGGGGGGGAGAGAGGACAATGTGAAGGAGAGACAGAGACTCACACAACATCCACACATACTGACACATACACTCTTATTTTCCTACATCTAACTATATATATATATGTGTATTTTTTTTTTTATTAAATCATAGCTGTGTACATTAGTGCAATCATTGGGTACCATGTGTTGGTTTTATATACAATTTGAAATATTTTCATCAAACTGATTAACATAGCTTTCACGGCATTTTCTTAGATATTATGTTAAAACATTTATATTCTACACCTAGTAAATTTCACATGTACCCTTGTAAATTGCACCGTAGGTGTGGTCCCACCAATTACTTTCCCTCCACCCATCCTCCCCCCTCCCCTCCTCTCCCTATCTCCTTTCCCCTTCTTCTTGGGCTATCATTGGGTTATAGCTTTCATAAGAAAGCTATAAATTGGTTTCATAGTAAGACTGAGTACATTGGATACTTTTTCTTCCATTCTTGAGATACTTTGCTAAGAAGAATATGTTCCAGCTCCATCCATGTAAACATGTAAGAGGTAAAGTCTCCATCTTTCTTTAAGGCTGCATAATATTCCATGGTGTACATATACTATAAGTTATTGATCCATTCATGGGTTGATGGGCACTTGGGCTTCTTCCATGACTTAGCAATTATGAATTGGGCTGCAATAAACATTTTGGTACATATATCTTTGTTATAATATGATTTTTGGTCTTCTGGATAGTAGTAGAGGAATTGTAGGATTGAATGGCAGGCCTATTTTTAGATCCCTAAGTGTTCTCCAAACATCTTTCCAAAAGGAACATATTAGTTTGCATTCCCACCAGAAATGCCTACATCTAACTATGAAATGCTGCTATATTAAACTGTGGACATACCAGATTATATCTTATTTATGCTAACTTCCAGCCAGATGGTAAACTGCTTATTTTACAAATATAAGCTCATAAATCTTCACAATAACTATAATATAATAGATGCTATTATTCCCATCTCAAGGATTAAAAGACTGAGGCCAAAAGAGTAAAGTAATTAGTCCAAGGCCACATAGCTAGTACATGGTAATGCTAGAATTCTAATCTCTCGTGATTCCAGAAACCAATGTGTCAATGTCTTTTATCATGTTTGCTCATCTATAAAGTAGGGAGAATAAAACAGATTGCCTCATAGGAGTTGTAAAGGTAAAATTATAAAACCATAAAAAAACTACTATGAAAACTATAAAGTATTATTCATATTAACACAGAGACACGGTATTAATAGATTTTTTTCAAAAACTCCCTTTATAAGCAACATTAATAGATTTAATATAAAATTATACTAACCCCATTTAACTATATACAATCAAAACCTTGTTTTCATCTACCAACTTTCTGCTAAACCTTTACTTTTGAGTTCAAACTTTAAGAGGGTCTGTACATACATAAAACATGCTTTACTAATTCAGAGCAGCTTGACCTGAAAAGCCCCCTGTACACAGTTTTCTTCATTTACTTATGACATCTCTCTATCACAGCTCAACGCCTGGCTCATTATTCTCTTGGAGTGCCTAGGAGAAGGGGAGGAATGTTTTACAAGGGAAGGATCAATACCAATTGATTAACATCATGAACCCTGGATGGGTATTTTTTTTCCCCACCACTGCTTTGTTTCAGTTTCAAAAGACTTGATAGGGAAGAATTAAGGCTAATATTAAAGAGGGTATTTCTTTTTTTTGTTTTTAATGGGGGGGAAGGGTTTTTTTTTTTTAAGAGACAGTCTCACATTATCACCCTTGGTAGAGTGCTGTGGAGTCACAGCTCACAGCAACCTCCAACTCCTGGGCTTAGGCAATTCTCTTGCCTCAGCCTCCTGAGTAGCTGGGACTACAGGTG